TTTTGTGATTGAAATTTAGTTTTCAATTTGTAACGGAAACCGGAAGTTGTTAACAAACATTACAAGAAAATAAATTTTATGATGGTAGAGAGTAAATGAATGGAATAGAGAATTGTCTGCAATGAATACTAGTGTGTAAGAAGAAAAACCGAAACCGAATCTGATATCAGCTTTTTATACCCTACACCACTTTAGTGGGGAGGGTATATTGGGGCTGTGCTGATGTTTGTAACATGCCCACCTTAAAGTATACCAATCGGCTTAGAATCGTTTTCTGAGTCGTTTTCGTTAAAATCGGTCCATTATTTCACCTAGTCCCCATACAACAGAACCCCCCGAAAAGGGCTTCTGAGCTCATAATTATATTAAATATGCCTGAATATCGATAAAAAGCGGCACAACTAAGTTTTATACAAGCCTTGATGACTATGCCAAATTTCATAAAGATCGGGCCTCATTTGACCCTAGCTCCCATACAAAGTCCCCTTCAAAAAATTACTTGAATGTCCAAAAACATATAAACACAAATATTGCGATGAAATTCAGCACAATGAAATTCAGAACAATGAATTATAATGAAAAATAAATCACATTTTATATTCATAACTGATGTAGGATATCATATGGTCGGTCACGCCCGTATATACTTTCTTATTTGTTTCTATTAACCACTATTTTCTAACGTTCTTCGATGTCATCAAAAAAAATCGGTGGAAAACAAAATAATATTTCACTATGGTTTTGCCAATATTGCATAGCTTAAGTTTGACCTTCACAGTTTATGGGTTAACATTATTCGATTTTACTAAAACTTCGAGCTAAATTTTTGCAGAATGTATTTCTATAAATATAAAGTCAGAGACGGCCACTATTCGCAACTTCAGTAAAATTACGGAATTTTATATTTGGGACACTATTTAACAGCGGACACTTGCACAAACACGCACAAAACCTCTCGAAATAAACAAAAATATGTATTAAACACTCTTAGAATACTTTTCATTAGAAATTAAATTGCCCTGTTTCCCTTTGTGTTGAATCTTTGAATCTCTAAGCATTTTGGACTTTTGTTTCTAGTGGTAGCAGTGGAAAGATTTTTTTCTATATCCTCTTGTCCTGTTAACAAGTGTTGTTTTGCATTGCACTGCACAATTTCGCGTTGACATTTCCATTAACTATAGAAATGTTTATTAGTGGAATTGTTGTTTCAGTTGTTGTGTACAAGTTTTCGAATCCTTTATGCTAAATTAAAAAAAATGCTGGTTATTGTCGAATGTTGTTTTCAAATTGCCTTATATGTACATAGGAATTGCTAAGAGAGCAGATTTAAAAGTTGGAAGAGAAATTTAGTAATTATTTGAATTGAAACCAAACACTTTAAGAATTTAGTCAAGGACAAGGAAGTTAATCTAACCCCTTGATAAATACGAAATTTTTGAATTTTCATAGTTTTTGAAAAAATTTCTATTGAAACGAAATACTAAGTAGGCATCTTGCATACAACCCTCGTATTAATATGCATTAATGTGTGTGTTTATGTATGGCTTGTGCACATTAGAAAACATGATTTATAGTACACTATATTGCGTATTTGGGCCACCATAGGATATTGTTGTCATCGTCTATAAATGTAGTTCCCTTTTTATACCCCATCAGTGGTGATAGAGGGTATATATGACTTTGTCATTCCGTGTGTAACACCAAGAAATATTCATCTGAGACCCAACAAAGTATATATATTCTGGGTCCTTATCAAAATCTAAGTCGATTTAGCTATGTCCGTCTGTCTGTCCGTCTGTCTGTCCGTCTGTCTGCCTACAACACGCTCACGTTAAAACTAAGCAAAGAAAGTAAACCAAATTCACCGAAAATATTCATTGTTGTCCTAAGCAGTTTGGTATTGAAAATGAGCAAAATCGGTTCACACCGGGAAAAGTTATGAATCAAAATTTAAAACAACCTCGAAAAAAATAAGCATTTTTTTACACATTCTGGTGTAATTTTCTCGAAAACTATGCAAGATAAATTCATGAAAATCACCATAAATTCGTTTCTACACAAGACCTTGAGCCGTGCTGAAAATTGCCCGAATCGGTCAACAATTTCATATACCTCCCATACAAAAGTTCATATTCCCGGAAAATGGGTTTTTTGTTAATATCTTCCGACAAAATGTCGATATCTTCACAAAATTTTGCAAATTAAAATCTTATGTCAATAAAATTCATTAAGAGAAAAAATTGTCTGGATCGGTCCCTAATTGGACATAGCTCCCATACAAGGTCACCTCCCGACAATCACTTAAACGCTCATAACTCATTACCAAATATTGATATCCATATATTTAGCAAAAATATTGCTCTTATACACATAAATTAAACTATAAAATTGTTTTACGATCGGTCCATATTTGGACATAGCTCTCATACTAGGTCCCCTCCAGAAAATCACTTAAATGCGCAATATTCATTACCAAATAATGATTTAGATACAGAATTTTGAAATTTTGTCTTTATATACATAATTGTTCATAGCTCCCATACAAGGTCCTTTTACGAAAATCTCTTAAACGCACATTACTCATTACCAAATAAAGCAATTGATACAAAATTTGGCACAAATATTAGTTTTGTATACAAAAATTCTATTTCAAGATTTTTTCACGATCGGTTCATAACAGGGGTGCGGTCGGTCCCATACAAGGTTCACTTCAGAAAATCACTTAAACGCATTATCAATTTGTGTAGAACAAAATTATATATATGTAATTTGAAAATCCTTAAATCTTTCACACACATGCATACATGCAAATTACTAAATATCGCTAAAACATATCTTAGGGAGCTATAAAAATATAAAAGGCGTTTGTAATGTTCAATAAATCTTGGAATTGTAATGATTTAAACTGTTTAAATCTTGGGACTTTTCTATTTAAGACATAAGAAAACTTATTTCTACAAATATTTAATCATTTAAAAATCTATTAGTATCTGGTGGAGGGTATTTAAGATTCGGCTCAGCCGAATATAGCACTCTAACTTGTTTGATTATTGGTCCTTCTTCTTTCATTGCATGCCTTTTACTTGCAAATGTATAGATGCAAATAGTTGCATAGTTGCTGGTTGAACACTTTATACAACAAGACATTCATTATATTTTGCCTTCATGTTGGATTAAAGGGAAACAATTTTACTCGTATTAATAAATTAAATACATAACCTTTTTTGCTTGTAATGGATTTTGAAAATATTTCGTTATTTATAGGTTAGGATATAAGTTGATATACTCTTTCTTTCAACCCCTCAACATGTTATACTAATGGTAAAGTAATATAGGTAGATTCGTTCTTCCATCTTCTGTTAATGCTTACTTCTCATAGCGTGTTGGGAATTTCCGTTTTTTGTTAGAAATTTCCTTATTTCGCTAATGCGTCAGCACTGTTATTGTCCCCGATTATTACTTTCCAATAAGATTTTCTTTAGGAGTCGCAACTGTCTATACAATTGCGGCAAAGGACACCCCTGATAGTTTTGTAGCTTTGACCGTAAATAGAATCCTACTCACACATAAAATCGATCACAGAAAAACCGATTTTTGCTGAGAAATAGAAACGATTGGGCCGACTAAGGTTGATTTTAGTTTTTTCACATAAAAAAATTTTGATGAGAAAAAAAATAAAACACAGCTTAGCTGCGTTTTTACGATTGGGAACCTATTTAAGGAAATGGAACCGGTATTATGTTTTTCATATAATAATCGATTTTAATTTGAAAATTTAGGTGATCACAGTTTAACCTCCTTTTTGGCCACTATTTAAGAAGAGGCTCACTCCTTTTGGTTTGAACAGATGTAGTCTAAAGATTCCAATTAGAATTTTAACGAGTTATTGTTTAATTAGAGCTTTTTCCAGTAAATGCGAATATATTTAAAAACAAGTCAGAGAAAATGGCTAGGAAATAGGTTTCACGACGAACTGAGGAGTATTGCTGGGAGCAATCTATTAGATTTTATCAGAAAAATAAGCAGGTTTGCGATTATTGCAAGGATTCGGAACTCTTATCATATTTCTGCCACTTCGACATCTGAATCTATTGTCTTTTCAGAAACTAGGTTATGTCCCTCTTAATTCTCTGCTTCGCTCCAAAGTATTTGTTTCTCCTTTTTTTGTTCTGCTGAAGAATAAGCAGGTTTTCGACTAAAGCAACGATTCGGAATTGCTATCACACTTCTACAACTGCAACATCTGAATCTATTGTCTTTTCAGAAACAAGATTGTGTCCCTCATAGTTCTTTGTTTCGTTCCATTCCCCGCTCTCTCTTCTTCTGTCTTCATTATTTATTTCCTCCTTTTTTGTTCTACTGAATAAAATCAACGTTCTCCGAGTGTCGTTGTTATAATGGTATGGTACATAACTCTTTCAAACCTAACCTAAACTACATATTTAAATAGAACAATAATAAAAAAACACCATTATGTTAGACATTCTAATTTATAAATCATTTATTTATAATTGGTTTTATATACCCTTGTGATTGATTTCTTTTGTTTTTGCATTTCTTTTTTTTCTATGGTTTTTTATTTTCCATTTTGATAAAATACTTTAAAACATAGTTATTTTTTTCACTAAATATTTGTTTTCTTTTTTATATAATAATACGTTTAATTAATTAACAACAATATAAACTAATTTTATTTTTATTATTTAAATATATATTTTTTTAATGACGGTGTATTCAATTTCCATTCACGATATCTTTTTTTCTTTTACATTAAGTTTTATGCTCTTTTTTTAGGTTTTCTTACTAAATTTAAGTTTTAGATTTATTTTGTTTATTTAATGGACATGTTTTCTGATTGTGAATACAATCAAGAAATGGAAATTAGAAAACTGATTAAAGAAACAAAATAATAAAATATTTACAATAAAAATTATACATGTACAAAGAAAATAATAATTTAAAAAAATAGTTAAGAATTTTTTGTTATATAGATTTGTTAGTTTTTTTTTTTTTTGTTTAAAGCTATAGCAATAGAAATGTGTGTAACAAAAATGTCTTTAAATAGTAAATTTTAGATTAAGTATAAGTGTGTGTTTAAATAATGATACGTTTCCATTTTTTTTATAAATTGCAATAATTTTTGTTTTTCTTAAACGTTTAGAAAATAAAATATTTTGCAATATTTTATTTTCTAATTAAATTTATGGGGTTTTAAATACATAATCATTTACATATTAATAAGAATTTATAAACTTTAGGGTGGACCCGTTTTTATGGAAATGTTCCGAGTGAAATGAAAGCTTGTTTCTTTTTTAAAATAACATTCCTCAAAATTTTTGAACTGAGGTCAATATTTGTTTAGCTGGATTTTCGTCGGAAACAATTAGCAATTTCTATTTTTGGGACCACCCTTGTAAACATAAATTTAAGAATTATAACAGTTACAACATGTTTATTTAAATATTTGCACAAAAATGTCATTAAAACGAATTAAACTAAATGTAATTGAATTTGTTTTGAACAAAATTAAGAAGTTTAAAATGTTTATTAAGTTTTTAAGTTTTTTTATTACTTTCCTTACCGCAACTTCTTCTTGTTGGTTTCCCACTACAATGTTATTAATCACTTCAAGTGCAAAAATTAATTTACTATAACTTTAATATACCACAATGTTTTCAAACTATTCCTGGCAAAAGCCTTCAGTCTCTTCGATGGCAAATGTTAATTTCTCCACTAGCTGATCATAACTCTTATAAGGTGGCAAATCCAAACGATTGAAGCAGGTGTGTGAGCGTGGCAACCAGGTTTCCTTGCCCACCTTTTCAATGCAGAAACGTTGTGGCCCATTCGAGCCCATTAGTTCGGCAAAGCCGCCCACGGGCACACGACAAGTACCAGTGACAAATTGCAAAAGTCGAGCCCGTTTTTCATTATCCGTATCACGTACAAACTAAAGGTGATTAATTTAAATAAGTTTATTTTTTGCAACGTATACTTTTTCAATCCTACTAACCTGCCAAAACCAAACCACTTGTTTAGAATTACGATTGTAGTGTCGATAGATGGTGTTACGTTGCCAATCGTCAACATCCACATCTTGCATGCCGCATAGTATTAACTCCAATTCACGTTCATCAAAATATTTTAACCATTCGAGTGGTACTACTTCATTGAAACCTTCTAAAAAGGTTTTTGTTTGTTGTTCAATACCACTAATATTTTAAATTAAAATCACATAAAAAAATTAACAAACTTTATAAACATAACTCCCCTCCTCCTATACACTTACCGTGTCATTCTCCATTCGGTCATTAACGTTATATACTCTTCTTTATTTTCTTCTGTCACTTTCTCCTTTTCACCATTTTCCTTCAATTCATGGTGGATGATTTGTCCCAACACCTCAAAGTCCACACTAAACCACAGTTCCAAACCGCACTCGTCGATATTATTGTCACGCACCCATATTAAGGAATTATAAAATTCTGGATCGATCGTTTCAATGTCTTTAATGGTTAGTTTTTTATTTAACATGCGCTTGTAGAATGGCATCGTGAAGCCGGAGTAGATGAAACGTCCATGATATAGAGCCATGGCTATAAAGCGTCCGATAAATTTAAAATATTGCAAATGATCGGGATTAACGTAAGAGGCGGGATTGATTTGTAGACTATAGTTATTTTTGTTGGCATACTCGAAAAGGCAATACATGGGATTGAGTACCTCGTGTGAGAGTAGGAAAAACCATTCACGCGATACACCGCCATAATCGAGACCTTCCTCACCGCGGAATATGATGTAGAGACGACGACGCAACTCGTAGGCTGGCAAACGCATTATCTGATGATAGGAATCTTCGAAAAGGGTCTGGCGAGTAACAGTGATTTTGATGTGTGAGGGCAGAGCATTGCTCTGGCAGAGGTAACGAAACTGTGAAAGTTTCCAGCGGAAACTGCGCTCATAAGCCCGTGGTACACCGTATACCCCTTTAGCACCCTTGGGTGCACCCGGACGAGGATCTTCAAAGGTTGTACGTCGAGCATTGTGATCCACAAAGAATCTTTCGCCCGTCGCGGTGTAGCGTATCTCCCAACCTGGTGGCAGAGGTCCTTCATTGATCAAACTAACTTCTTGTCCCTGAGTACGTGGATCTTCCCATTGTGTTGTACGATTTTTGTGATTTACAAAGTAAACACGATTGTCCGATTGTACTTTTTTCTCCCAGCCATCTGGCAGGGGACCCAAGCTGTCTTCATCGTCTTGTGTGGCTGCAGCTGTAACGGCTGTAGGCTGTTGCTGTTGTTGGCCATAGAGGAATCTTTGATTACCTTGTGCTACCACATGGGCGCGCTGTCCCTGCCAGTGCTGGAAGTGCATTAGACGTTCACTGTTCGGTCTTTGCCAAGTGGTGGTGCGTGTATTGTGATCAACATAGTACACTCTTCCTCGTGGATCTTTGCGTATTTCCCAACCGGGTGGTAGTGGTGTGGGTTTCTCCCAATATGTCGAACGAGTGTTGTGATCAACATAGTAACGGCGACCATACTGATCGAATCGTATTTCCCAACCAGCAGGCAGTGGTTCATCGTCAGCCTGTGCAGCCTGTAATTGTTGATCCGTTACATTTGATACCGGCAAACCATTGCCCATGAGGGACTGTTGATCATTAGCCCCAACGGGTAACATACCGCCTACGGCTCCTTCCATCATGGTTTGAGCTGGTGTCTGTTGCCCAGGTACTGCACCATTTGCATATAATTGCGACATGGGTCGTCCATTTGTGGCAGCAGTCGTTGCCGAGGGTCCATTAACCCGTTGATTATGTACCATTTGCATTTGCTGCTGCTGTTGTTGTTGTTGTTGCTGCTGCTGTTGCTGTGCAGCCATAGCCGCAGCCGTTTGAGGATCCCAAGTACCACTAGGAGGTGCTGGTGCTCTACGTACAGCACCAGTTTGTGGTATCATTGCACCCGAACTACTGCTACGTTCTAAATTACCATTTTGCATGGCTACAGGAGATCGGCCGGGACCCACGCCACCACTTTCACTAACACTACCCGTCGAACGCATACGCACACGTGTTCTAACACCGCCATAAATCATACAACTACGCCCGGGAGCAGCTGCTGCACCTGATGCTGTCGCTGCACTTCCGCCACCATCACCTCCAGCATTCGGCATTAATGAACCATTACCATTTTGTATCATCACATTGGTCATATCCAATTTTAGACCATTCAATATGGCCACCAGTTCACCACTTTTCGTTTGACGATTATCCGATTTAGAGGTGACCAAGAGATCCATACTCACTTCTAGGAATTCACAACGTCCATTATAATGCTGCAAAATGTGAGCCAAACTAATTGTTCGCTCACCGAGCATGGCATCCTTGCGAAAACTAGAATGATCCAATACCTTGAAGTGTAAAACTGAATGGGGCGTTATCTAAAAGAAATAAATTGTTTTCAATTCTCTTGATGTTTTATTTGGATTTTTTTTTTTTCATTGTTTTAATGGAGATGAATGTAAGCCAAAACAAAAAAATGCAAATTGTAGTAAAAGTAAAATAATAGATTTGTTAGTACATGGATAAAAAGAGATCAATATATTGGGAGCAATGTTAATCTAAAACTACGTTCAACAAACTGAGTTCCTGAATATTGAACGATAATTTCTTTCGTATATCGCATTATAAGATTTTTCCACCAACATTTTTAACATGAAGCTTTTAACCGGTCCGATAGCGGAATAACTGTATTTTTCGTATCGTTTTTTCAACACGATGCGCCAGTCAAAATCTTGTATTTTATAGTTTTAAATTTCATTTCTCTGAAGTAAGGAATATAGAACCCACTACCTTACATCTACTCTCACCATAAAAGAAACTATTCAATATATAAAAGAACATCTACTGTTTCAAATATATTCTGTTTTCCTCTAACCGCGGCTGTATTCAAAATATATAAAGAAGCTAATTTAATTTAACAACGATTGGAAATGTAAATATCATAAACAAGGCCAAAAACAAATTGATTTTAAATGAAACTAACAAAAAACTAATAAACTAATATGTATGATACTTAAAATATCAAATTACAACATATTTATTTTACAAAAATTTGTATTTTTAATGTGCTTACATTTAAATTACTCGATGAAGAAAATGCTTACAAGCCAAAAATGTAAATGACCAAGCCTAAAGAAAAACAAGTAAGAGTGTTATATTCGGCTGTGCCGAATCTCATATACCCACCATCAAACCGTATGCCGTAAAAGGAATGCTCCCCTATAAACATCAGCGTGATATTTGGAATATGGCTTAAGTCAATTATGGCCCGAGCTCTTTTGAACTAACAAAATATTAATTTAAAAAAAAATATATATATTTTATTTCAATTCTTAAACCGTGGGCGTCAATTATGAACCGATACTCATAAAATTTTGTACATTCAGGGCTATACTCGTATTTTAAATAAGGAACACTCGTAGTTTATTAGCCAAAACTCTTTCCTGAAGGGAACCTTTTGTGTATTACCGACACATTCCGCATGAAATTCGGAGCGAATTTCATAACCGTATTTCATAACTCATATTTTTAAGCCAGTAATGATCGTTTAAGTAATTTTCTGAAGGGGACCTTATATGGGCGGTAGGGTAAATTATATACCGATCCTCCCTAAATTTGGTGGAGAGATTAAACTTATGTGCGTCAATTTTCGTCACATTTATATTTTTAAGACAGTAATGAGCATTGTAGTTATTTGCAGAGTGGAAGGGTCATTTATGAGCCGATCCAAAAAAAATGGTACAGAGGTTTTGGCTCGTAAGAAACTTACGTGTGTAGCATTTCATCGTTTTACTCGTATTTTTAAGACAGTAGTAAGCGTTTAAGCTATTTCCTGAAGTGGACCCAATAAGGGGAGTAGGGCCAATTATGGACCTATCCACATAAAAGTTATTAAAAAGATTTTGGCTCGCGAGGAACTTTATTGTGTAAAATTTTATTGCTATATTCGTATTTTTTAGCCAGTAATGAGCGTTAAAGTCATTTTCAGAAGGGGACCTTATATGGGGGATAGGGTTTTGGTTCGTAAGAAACTTACTTATACTGAATTTCATCGCTATACTCGAATTTTTAGGCTAGTAATGAGTGTTAAAGTCATTTTCTAAAGGTGACCTTATATGGGGGGTAGGGTCATTTATGGGCCGATCCTAAAAAAATTGGTAGAGAGATTTTGGTTCGTAAGAAACATACTTATACCGAATTTCATCGCTTACTTGCATTTTGGGACCAGTAATGAGTGTTAAAGTAATTTTCAGAAGGGGACCTTATATGGGGGGTAATTTATGGGCCGATCCTCAAAAAATTTGGTAGAAAGATTTTGGCTCATATGAAACTTTTTTATGTCGAATTTCATCGCTAAACTTGTACTTCTAAAGCAGTTATGCCCGTTAAAGCTGTTTTTTGGAGGTCCACTTGTATGGGGGCTATCCGAAAAAGTGGACCGATATTGCCCATTTACAATACCAAACAAACCTTAACAATAGAGAATATTTATGCAAAATTTCAACTGTCTAGCTCCTCTCGTGTGGTCCCTATCGTGATTTCAACAGACAGACGGACGGACATGGCTAGATCGTCTTAGAATTTAATAAGGACCCGGAATATATATACTTTTATGGGTCTATGACCAATATTTCGATGTGTTACAAACGGAATGACAAAATCAATACACCCCCCATCTTTTTTGATGGTGGGTATAAAAACTAGAAACATATACATACAAATGCTGTTAATGCAGCCATCATTATCAATTAACACTAATAATAATAATAATGATGTTACTAAAATGTTTCACAAACAACGGCAATAACAACAAAACTACATTATCAATTTCCTATCTATCAATGAAAACATGAACAAAATTATATGAAAATGGTTTATATTAACAAAAATAAACAATAAAAGACACAAAGCTAACAAAAAGCTTTGGTTCTTGATGTGTCAACAAAAAAAAATGATTATTAATGCAAATAAATAAAATTAACATGAAAATCCCGTCAAAATAGATTGACGGCATTGAAGTCAAAAAACATTGTCCAGCAAATTGTTACCAAAATAAAGGTAAAATATGAAAAACAAACAATTAGTAAATTGACAAGAAGAGAAAAATGCCAAGAAGTTGATTAAATAAAAAAAAAACAACAATAAAAACAGTAGTATATATTTTTAAATTATAATAAATTAATTGAAACAAATTATATTAAAATTCTTAATAAGCAAAATGCAATGTAGTATGATTTTACAAATTATAATAAAAATATTATTTGAAATACTAAAAGTACAATTAACTTACCAATACTGTAAACTCTTCATTCCATTTCGGCAAATAGGTATTTTTAACAAAATCAGTTTTACGTTTACTTTTATTATCGATTAGCAACTCAACATATGGATTGGGTTTTAAAAAACCACTATTACGTAGTGACGCTTCTTCAACTGTGGGAATAAAATCAAATGTTTGCAATCAAACCAAATAAATCTAATTATAGAGAATATAAAAACGTTGTACTTACTTGTTACACTCAATTGATGATAACCTTGATTGCCTTGATGTGTTGAGGCGGCCAAGGAGGTGCTGCCATTGCTTAAAGAGGTCGAAGGCCCTGTATTATTATAATCACCCGAAGAAGCAACTGATGCAGCTACAAGTCCTCCGGATGCCGCTGCTAATGCATTGCCGGTGGCCATCGGTAGTGTTAAAAGGTTAAAACACGTCTATGTTCGCCAATAAATTGTTATTGATTCGTTGTGTACAATAACTTTGTTAGTAATATAGAAAGCTGTAATAATAATAGCAAAGCAATTAAAATAGTTTTATGAATTATTTAACAAAAAGTTTAAACGTTTTTGCGAGTAGCTTTAAAGTTTTGTATATAGGCTGTATTAAAATCTATGAATATTTTACTTCTCACTCTAATACAGTTTATAAACAATTTAAGATAAGATTGCTGCCAAAAAAAAATATGTCGGTAAAGACGTATGTACATATGTAGTTACGTTATAGTATATAATACAGCTAAGTTAAATGAAAGATAAGATTCTAATAGTAACGCTTTTTTACTGTTTTAATCGCATTATCATACTTATTTGTGTATTAGGGATATAACTTTTAAAGTTTTCTGCTTCTGTTCTAGTTCAGTTCTGGTTCAGTTCTAGTTCAGTTCTAGTTCAGTTCTAGTTCAGTTCTAGTTCAGTTCTAGTTCAGTTCTAGTTCAGTTCTAGTTCAGTTCTAGTTCAGTTCTAGTTCAGTTCTAGTTCAGTTCTAGTTCAGTTCTAGTTCTAGTTCTAGTTCTTCTGTTCAGTTTCAGTTCAGTTCTAGTTCAGTTCTAGTTCAGTTCTAGTTCAGTTCTAGTTCAGTTCTAGTTCAGTTCTAGTTCAGTTTCTAGTTCAGTTTCAGTTCCGTTCTAGTTCAGTTCTAGTTCAGTTCTAGTTTCAGTTTCTAGTTTACAGTTCTAGTTCAGTTCTAGTTCAGTTCTAGTTCAGTTCTAGTTCAGTTCTAGTTCAGTTCCTAGTTCCGTTCTAGTTCAGTTCTAGTTCAGTTCTAGTTCAGTTCTAGTTCAGTGTCTAGTTCAGTTCTAGACTTCAGTTCTAGTTCAGTTCTAGTTCAGTTCTAGTTCAGTCTAGGTCAGTCTAGTTCAGTTCTAGTTCAGTTCTAGTTCAGTTCTAGTTTCAGTTCTAGTTCAGTTCTAGTTCAGTTCTAGTTCAGTGTCTAGTTCAGTTCTAGTTCAGTTCTAGTTCAGTTCTAGTTCAGTTCTAGTTCAGTTCTAGTTCAGTTCTAGTTCAGTTCTAGTTCAGTTCTAGTTCAGTTCTAGTTCAGTTCTAGTTCAGTTCTAGTTCAGTTCTAGTTCAGTTCTAGTTCAGTTCTAGTTCAGTTCTAGTTCAGTTCTAGTTCAGTTCTAGTTCAGTTCTAGTTCAGTTCTAGTTCAGTTCTAGTTCAGTTCTAGTTCAGTTCTAGTTCAGTTCTAGTTCAGTTCTAATTCAGTTCTAGTTCAGTTCTAGTTCAGTTCTAGTTCAGTTCTAGTTCAGTTCTAGTTCAGTTCTAGTTCAGTTCTAGTTCAGTTCTAGTTCAGTTCTAGTTCAGTTCTAGTTCAGTTCTAGTTCAGTTCTAGTTCAGTTCTAGTTCAGTTCTAGTTCAGTTCTAGTTCAGTTCTAGTTCAGTTCTAGTTCAGTTCTAGTTCAGTTCTAGTTCTAGTTCAGTTCTAGTTCAGTTCTAGTTCAGTTCTAGTTCAGTTCTAGTTCAGTTCTAGTTCAGTTCTAGTTCAGTTCTAGTTCAGTTCTAGTTCAGTTCTAGTTCAGTTCTAGTTCAGTTCTAGTTCAGTTCTAGTTCAGTTCTAGTTCAGTTCTAGTTCAGTTCTAGTTCAGTTCTAGTTCAGTTCTAGTTCAGTTCTAGTTCAGTTCTAGTTCAGTTCTAGTTCAGTTCTAGTTCAGTTCTAGTTCAGTTCTAGTTCAGTTCTAGTTCAGTTCTAGTTCAGTTCTAGTTCAGTTCTAGTTCAGTTCTAGTTCAGTTCTAGTTCAGTTCTAGTTCAGTTCTAGTTCAGTTCTAGTTCAGTTCTAGTTCAGTTCTAGTTCAGTTCTAGTTCAGTTCTAGTTCAGTTCTAGTTCAGTTCTAGTTCAGTTCTAGTTCAGTTCTAGTTCAGTTCTAGTTCAGTTCTAGTTTCAGTTCTAGTTCAGTTCTAGTTCAGTTCTAGTTCAGTTCTAGTTCAGTTCTAGTTCAGTTCTAGTTCTAGTTCAGTTCTAGTTCAGTTCTAGTAGTTCTAGTTCAGTTCTAGTTCAGTTCTAGTTCAGTTCTAGTTCAGTTCTAGTTCAGTTCTAGTTCAGTTCTAGTTCAGTTCTAGTTCAGTTCTAGTTCAGTTCTAGTTCAGTTCTAGTTCAGTTCTAGTTCAGTTCTAGTTCAGTTCTAGTTCAGTTCTAGTTCAGTTCTAGTTCAGTTCTAGTTCAGTTCTAGTTCAGTTCTAGTTCAGTTCTAGTTCAGTTCTAGTTCAGTTCTAGTTCAGTTCTAGTTCAGTTCAGTTCAGTTAGTTCAGTTCTAGTTCAGTTCTAGTTCAGTTCTAGTTCAGTTCTAGTTCAGTTCTAGTTCAGTTCTAGTTCAGTTCTAGTTCAGTTCTAGTTCAGTTCTAGTTCAGTTCTAGTTCAGTTCTAGTTCAGTTCTAGTTCAGTTCTAGTTCAGTTCTAGTTCAGTTCTAGTTCAGTTCTAGTTCAGTTCTAGTTCAGTTCTAGTTCAGTTCTAGTTCAGTTCTAGTTCAGTTCTAGTTCAGTTCTAGTTCAGTTCTAGTTCAGTTCTAGTTCAGTTCTAGTTCAGTTCTAGTTCAGTTCAGTTCTAGTTCAGTTCTAGTTCAGTTCTAGTTCAGTTCTAGTTCAGTTCTAGTTCAGTTCTAGTTCAGTTCTAGTTCTAGTTCTAGTTCAGTTCTAGTTCAGTTCTAGTTCAGTTCTAGTTCAGTTCTAGTTCAGTTCTAGTTCAGTTCTAGTTCAGTTCTAGTTCAGTTCTAGTTCAGTTCTAGTTCAGTTTCTAGTTCTAGTTCAGTTCTAGTTCAGTTCTAGTTCAGTTCTAGTTCAGTTCTAGTTCAGTTCTAGTTCAGTTCTAGTTCAGTTCTAGTTCAGTTCTAGTTCAGTTCTAGTTCAGTTCTAGTTCAGTTCTAGTTCAGTTCTAGTTCAGTTCTAGTTCAGTTGCGAATGGTCTTGGATTATTAAATTAACCGATACTTGAAATTTGTAAAAGTTATTAATGTACAAAAATTAAGAGTACATTTATAAATATGCATAAAATCTATTGGAAAGTGTTTGTCCTTGGATAACATATAGATTTATGTAATAATAAATAGAAAAATTGATTGGAAAATTATGTTTAAAATTGTAATTTTGTGACAAATTTTATAAGAGGAATGTAGAAGCAAATGTGTAATATAGTGGTGTAGGGTATAATGTATTAAAAACTGTTTATATGAAGTTGAGATTTGTACAGAATTAGTTCACCACTACTGTTGCATGATTTACAAAAATCTTTAGTAATTTATATCTACATAGAGTATATTTTCATTATATTTTTATTATTTTTTTAGTAACGTATTACTCATCATTTCAATGCGATACAAATTGTTGGCTGATCATACGACTATACATATGAAAATGAAAAATTCAACAAAAAACCCCCCGTATAAACAAATGTTTTTTTATTATTATCGTTAATGCAAAGGGAATAATTTACAAAAAATAAACTAAAGAAGTCGAATAAAGAATAATAATTTTAATAAATAAGAAATAACATATTAAATACTAGCAGCTGAAAAATGTGCACAACCCGGACGGCTATGAAAGTAATAATAAAATTTTTAATAAATCACAAAATGTTTTATCTTTATCACTGATAATGAAGCTCACAAATAAACAATGATAGTGAAAGAAAATGTAAACATTACTTGAAGAAAATGAACAATAACAGCAGTGGCCTCCTGACATTCAAGGTCACAATTGTTGTAGATGGTAAAAGAAATCATGTCTTTCATTGTGTTTAAGCAGCTAAATCATATTCCAAAAACATAATTTAAAATTTCTAGGATCCATTATGGACCACACCACGTACCGTTGAGACATTATACATAGCAACTTCTTTTTATAGAAAAGTTGTTGCTCGGAGCAACGTTTCATACATATATAGAGAAATGTTTGTTCTGAATTAGAGCTTATTTTTTTATATAGCAACAGCTTCTCTGTATCAGGGTAACTATTTTCGATTGACAATTTGATAATCGAAATCGGAGCAACTTTTTATATATTATTGTTGTTGTTCTATTTAGGAATTGTTTCTCTGAATCAGAGTAAACATTTTTCTATAGATAAGGTGTTAATCTGAATAAGATCAAAATTGTTTCTATAAAGAACTTGGTCTTAATCAGATTAACCATTTTTGTAGTTAACACAAACTTAAGAATTCATTGCTTTAAGACTCTGTCAACACGTAAGCGATACAAGGAAACCAACAAAAAGAAATATTAATGCACATTAAAATAAACGAAAACAGAACAAAATAGAATGAAAATAAAACAGATTGAGGCAAAGGTCGTCCTCCAAGAAATAATTATAAATGAAATAACTACACATACAATATAGATTCAAAATTAATATAAAATTTATAATAGAACTTACAAAATTGATTTGTTGAGCTTTTTTAGCGTCAATATTGATTACGTTGCATTTGCAACACAAAATTTTTTTTAATGATACAAACCGAAACAATCAAATAAATAAACCCAAAAAGTAAACAGGAGTTATAACAAAAGGTTTCTTGGAATTTCTAAAAATTTATTTCCATTTCGTTAACTACACTTTGCACTCTTTGCTCTTATCTCCTTTTCTTTTTTTTTTTTTCTTGTACTTGTCTTGCACTTTTTTCTTCTACCAGTTATTACACTGGAAATTGTTATCGGAATTTTCTTGCTTTTTGCTGTTTTTTCAAGCTTATTATGTTTTACTTCATATTAATTAGTTAAAATATATATTCCTCTTTACATTAACAATAGTTTTGTTAATTATTTTTGTGTATTAATGTGATTTTTTTATGAAAATATTTTCACTAAAATTTTTTTCCGTCAATACTATTCAATTTTTGTAAATTACGTTTTGTCGATTAGTTCGTTGGCGTAACAAAGTACTTGCAAGAGATATGAAACGTTATGGCATGGAACATTGTGAAATTTGAACGGCAGCATTAATTTAGATAAAGAATGCAAAAAGATAAGCATGAAAAAGTGTTGCCAGACAATTGTTTACGGTAGTCGTTACATTTTGAAATATTTAAAAGAAAACTAAACTAAATATAGGATAAATGATATGAGAATCTGAAAATTCTATAGAAAGAACTTAATATAAGTATTTCTATTTTGAATTTACATTTGTATATGAATATGTAGATTTGCATAAGGTACGAGACCGATTTGATCAACTACCTATTACTGCAACTGACAGATTTGCTCAACAGCCTATTTTTTAAAATTAGGGTTTTTATAATAGCAATTTTTTGGAAAAAGGATAATTCGTTAGTGAGTAGTTAGTTAGTTAGTTACTTAGTTAGTTAGTTAGTTAGTTAGTTAGTAGTTAGTTAGTTAGTTAGTTAGTTAGTTAGTTAGTTAGTTAGTTAGTAGTTAGTTAGTTAGTTAGTTAGTTAGTTAGTTAGTTAGTAGTTAGTTAGTTAGTTAGTTAGTTAGTTAGTTAGTTAGTTAGTTAGTTAGTTAGTTAGTTAGTTAGTTAGTTAGTTAGTTAGTTTAGTTATTAGTTAGTTAGTTAGTTAGTTAGTTAGTTAGTTTTTTAGTTAGTTAGTTAGTTAGTTAGTAGTTAGTTAGTTCTTCGTTCAGTAGTTAGTTAGTTACGTTAGTGTTAGTTAGTTAGTTCGTTAGTTAGTTCTTCGTTAGTTTTCCGTTGTTAGTTAGTTGTTGTAGTTAGTTCGTTTTCGTTAGTTTTGTTCGTCGTTCTGGTTCGTTCGTTAGTTCGTTCGTTCGTGTTAGTTAGTTCGTTTAGTTGTTCGTTCGTTCGTTCGTTCGTTCGTCTTCGTTCGTTCGTTGTTGTTCGTTGTTCGTTAGTTAGGTGTTCGTTAGTTAGTTCGTAGTTTCACGTATTTCTCGTTGTTACGTACTCGTTTATCTTCTTGTTTAACTGAGTGCTATTGGCCAATTAAACCTAGTGTATACGTGAGAAAGATTTTCATCAATATTACAGTTAAAGTTAAAGTCCGTCTAAATTTGTTCCGAGTTTAATCTAATAGCAAGTTAAGCCTCGTTTAACTGAGTAATGTAATGTATACATCTTTGTATACATTTTGGAAATTAATTTCATTTCTGTAAGTCAAGGATTATTTGCTGTATAGTTATAACTCAATCTATAAATTAGGAAACATTTTTTTAGGATCAAATAAACTATCTTTAACGACAATTGGTTAATAATTTATATAATTTAGAAAATTTAATAAATGATTTCGACATAAACTTTACAAAAAATTTACCTTTGGACAATAATTTTATTATTATTTTTATATATCAATATTTTATTTATTTCATTTAAATTATATAAAAGTGCAAATATTTACTTTTTCAATACATATTTCTTTATAATTATTTGTAAATTTTGTAATATTAAAAAAAAAACTTATTAATATTAAAAATTTGGCAAGCCCAGCTTCTGTCGTTACAAATTAAGAAAAATTTTAAAAATATTTCAAATTACATAAATAGAAATTTATAAAAAAGTCTTTTGTTTACAAAATTTTTCATTAGAGAGAACCAAATTATAGCAAATAATTTAAAAGAAAATATTAAGTGAATATAATGAATATAAAATGAGTAAAATAAACGCCATATAGTTTTAGAAGGTGAAGTAATAAAAAAATTCCTTAAATTTGCTTTCTTTTATAGTTACATTAAAGTAGTTAAACTTAAATGTTAACAACAATAAAAAAAAAAATTGTCATATACATTGTATAAATAATTTTACGAAAAATTATAATTTGGTATATAATCGTTGGTATATGGAGGTCATTTTATTTATATATAATAAATTGTTGTTAATTTTAAAATATTGCTTTATTGGCTGTCTTTTTGTTTTTTTTTTTTTACTTCTTTTCAATAAATCTTGTACTATATGTTTTACTTGAGTTTCTCCTTTAACCATTCCTCGGTTAATTCATCTAATTCTCGTATTTCATACACTCTCGTTAGATCTACTTCTCTTTGTAGAGCACTTTTAGTGCAGGCATACATCATTTGCAATTCAATTTGACTGTCACGTGGCGTATAGAATATGAAACACATTGGATATGATATGCGCGAATCATCATGTATCATTTTATAGGTGTAAATCACATAACGCGGCTGATGACCTGGCAGTTGTTCTTGCAGTTCTTCAAGAGAAATATCATCTAGCATATCGTCGAGTACGACTAATTGCTTTTCACGATCAACTTTTACTGTTAAAAATAGATACATATGTTAATTAGTTTGGCAAGAAAAAGATAGATAACAAAAAAATTAAATTGTTTAAACTAGATCTCACTAAATTCCAAAATTTAAGTCAGTTCTTGATTAGGTTCTAGTTCAGTTCTAGTTCAGTTCTAGTTCAGTTCTAGTTCAGTTCTAGTTCAGTTCTAGTTCAGTTCTAGTTCAGTTCTAGTTCAGTTCTAGTTCAGTTCTAGTTCAGTTCTAGTTCAGTTCTAGTTCAGTTCTAGTTCAGTTCTAGTTCAGTTCTAGTTCAGTTCTAGTTCAGTTCTAGTTCAGTTCTAGTTCAGTTCTAGTTCAGTTCTAGTTCAGTTCTAGTTCAGTTCTAGTTCAGTTCTAGTTTAGTTCTAGTTTAGTTCTAGTTCAGTTCTAGTTCAGTTCTAGTTCAGTTCTAGTTCAGTTCTAGTTCAGTTCTAGTTCAGTTCTAGTTCAGTTCTAGTTCAGTTCTAGTTCAGTTCTAGTTCAGTTCTAGTTCAGTTCTAGTTCAGTTCTAGTTCAGTTCTAGTTCAGTTCTGGTTCAGTTCTGGTTCAGTTCTAGTTCAGTTCTAGTTCAGTTCTAGTTCAGTTCTAGTTCAGTTCTAGTTCAGTTCTAGTTCAGTTCTAGTTCAGTTCTAGTTCAGTTCTAGTTCAGTTCTAGTTCAGTTCTAGTTCAGTACTAGTTCAGTTCTAGTTCAGTTCTTTTTGTTCTAGTTTATTGCTAGTTGGAATCAAGTAGTGAACAAGTTATTAGTAATCTCTGCAGAGAGTTTCCATAACAAAAAACATTAGATATTATTTTTTATGTGTGACAGCAGAAATTCTTTTTCTGTTAATTTAAATTAAATTTTATTAAAATATTATTTTACTTACATATTAAAGCTGAATTTGTAGTAGTTTTGCGAAAACGAAATTTTTTCAATTCATCTCTCACATCGTCACTTATATCACAAATCTTACTATCACCCTGTAAAAGATAGAATTTAATATATACAAAAAAAAAAAAACAAAAAGAAACCGGAAAATATACAGAAGCAAAATGAATAAAAAACAACAATAATAATAACTATTTTCAATATCGGCTTTTATCAAAAAAAGTCCACATATAAAGAATAAAGAAGACAAAAGGAAATAGAGATTTTTTTGTTTGTTGTAGATACAAAACAATAACACACCTTATCAATTAAATGAAAACATAAAATTAGTCATTTTAACAAAAAACTACAAAACTGATTCATGGATACAGAAGCAAAATATGTGCATAAATTATGTTTAAATATATATTTACTTACCATTTTAAATAAATCTTTTATTAATATTTAACCGTATATAGGTATATTATTAAATGAAAGGTTTTCCGATTTTGATTTCAAACCTTTTATAAATATTGTATTAAAAACACGAAAAATGCAAAAAGCACAAAAGAAAACCCTCCCGCACCAACAATTAAAATTTCATACTAAATTCAGAACATCCAAGTCGTTTAAATTTTGTTAAACGCCGTTAAGATTTTAAACTTAAATCCCTAAAAATACAACCTAGTAAATGTTTACATTCAAAAGTATACAACAGTGTTGCCATTTAGCACTTTCAGTGCTAGATTTAGCATTTTGCATCGTGAAAATGCATTGCGGTTTTTTAAAATTATGCTAATTGCTCTTTAGAAAGTTAATAGCATATTAGCATATTATTGAAAATCAGTGGTTAGATATTACAAAACAACATTATAATGAAAAAACGGATACAATGTCTTTTGAAATTCAAGTATATAATTTTGAATATTTTATGGGTGAAAATACATTTAAAGAATTGTCTATTATTGTATTGTCATTACTCGTTTCACTTTTTTCTAATGCCGAAGTTGAAAGGCTTTTTATTTCAATGTCTATAATTAAAAATAAAATTCGAAATCGTACTAAAGCTGAATTTTTATGTTCAATAATACAAATTTGAAATGAATTGAAATTCGAAAGGTGTGCTATTAAGTGGCCTTAATCATAAACAAATTTTAATTTTGTACAAGTTTTATAAATCAAATTATGTATGGAAATTTAGTATTAAAAATCTTTTGCAAAATAAAATGTTGTTCATGAATGTATAACTAATTATATTCCAAACGAAATAAGATCATTTGAAAAATACCAAAATGAAGATAACGATGAAGATGTAGTACCAGAAATTTATAATTGTTTTGTTATATTAAAAAATATTAGCACTTTTTTTTTTTCTTCTGTAGAACATTTTAGCACTTAGTTTTCTAAGTTTTAGTATATTTCGAAATTCATCTTCTGGCAACACTGGTATACAACCATGTTAAATATTTTGTTTGTTAATTTTTATTTATTAAATATTTTTGCTATATAGTGTTTTAGCACCAGTTCAAATAGATTTAGGTGTGTTTTATTAGTTATTTATTTTTCTTTGGCAAAATTTAAATTACGATTTGCGCACTTTGAATAGCCATCAATTCAAATACTTCTTTCCCTCTTAACTGATTTCAAAATCGCTATGTATAATATAAAAAACGCTTAATTGTCAACAATCTGCAGTTGTGTTAAAAAACAACGTAAATTTTTATTTAAAATTCATTTTACTATAAAAAAGGTAATAAATTAAAATAAGTATTTTAAAATTTAGTAAATATATAATATATCCCTAGTAGGTAATGTCTTTTAGTCAATCTTTGGTAATACCACAACATAATTACGATATATTTGGCCCCAGTTGGCAGGCCGGAGTTTCAAGCTCTCAAAGTTTGGCAAAATCTTTACGAAGTTATGACGTAGAAAGTGTAAATATTGTTAAAACATGGTAATTGTATCTAAAATAAACCAAAAAGAATATAATAAATATAAAAAAATATATTTTAGTGAAAAACTGTGCTCGGTCCTAAGCGCAAACAGAGATTCGAATCAGGAGTTGTCCCAGGATCTAGAAGATGCTGATAATCTTTGTGCTGTTGAAAAACCTAATACTATACCCTTTCGTACTTTCACTAATATATGGTATGGTACCTTAAAAATTTACCAACAACAGGTCAATACACTTTTCCGTAAGTTGAGGTTATGTTTAAAAATCCTTTTTTGTTTCTAATGGAGTTTTATACTGTTTCTATGTATTTTGCGCTCAATATGTTTCAAAGAAGCATAAAGCAGCTGTAATGTACAAATTAATTTTTTAACATCTTTCTTAAATCCTCAATAAGAGATACATACATCAACAATCAGTTAAAATTGTAATTGTAACAGCAGCTGTTTCTTAATGGTTTTTTGGTCACCCACAACAAAAAAACTTATTTTAAATATTAAACATTATGAAAATCCTTTATTATTTGCTATTATTTTTTGTAAACATAACATTCCATTTTATCAAGGATTATCTCAAGATTTACTTTCACGTAGCTGTAATTATGATGTCAAACATTTAGAAGCCACTAAAAGAAAGTCAAGGTAGTAACAAATTAATTTGTTTTCTCACTAAAATATAAAATATCATTTATAGCTTAAAGTCTCAAAAATGTATTAAAAAACGTCGCCTAACAATAAGAGAATCAACTAATAAGTCATTTATTTCTACAAACTATTCTGAACTCCTAGAAGATTTAGAAAGATTAACAAAAGAACCAATACAAAAATCATTAGAACAGGTAAATTAATATTAGAAACTAGAACTTCATTAGAATTGAAGTGGAACAGAAGTTCAACTGAACTGCACTGAACTAGAACTGAACTAGAACTGAACTAGAACTGAACTAGAACTAGAACTGAACTAGAATTGAACTAGAACTGAACTAGAACTGAACTAGAACTGAACTAGAACTGAACTAGAACTGAACTAGAACTGAACTAGAACTGATCTAGAATTGAACTAGAACTGAACTAGAATTGAACTAGAACTGAACTAGAACTGAAATAGAACTGAACTAGAACTGAACTAGAACTGAACTAGAACTGAACTAGAACTGAACTAGAACTGAACTAGAACTGAACTAGAACTGAACTAGAACTGAACTAGAACCGAACTAGAACTGAACTAGAACTGAACTAGAACTGAACTAGAACTGAACTAGAACCGAACTAGAACTGAACTAGAACTGAACTAGAACTGAACTAGAATTGAACTAGAACTGAACTTTAACCGAATTAGAACTGAACCAGAACTGAACTAGAGCTGAATTAGAACTGTACTAGAACTGAACTAGAACTAAAACTGTAATTGAAATACAACAGTTATATTTCAGAAATTTCTAATTATATTTCAGAACTTTCTAGTTATATTTCAGAAATTTCTAATTACGTATCAGAAATTTCTAATTATATTTCAGAAATTTTTAATCATATATCAGAAATTTCTAATTATATTTCAGAAATTTCCAATTGTATTTCAGAACTTTCCATTTGTATTTAAGAATTTTCCATTTTTATTTCCAATTCTAGAAATTTCTGAAATATAACTAGAAATTTCTAATTATATTTCAAAAATTTCTAATTATGTTTCAAAAATACATTTTATATTTCAAAAAATTATTATATTTCAAAGATACATTTTTTATTTCAGTAATTTCTAATTATATTTCAGAACTTTCTAGTTATATTTCAAAAAATGTATAATTATATATCAGAAATTTCTAATTATATTTCAGAAATATCCAATTTTCCATTTTTATTTCAGAAAATTTAAATTTAACTTAAGGCCCAAATAGACTACACAAGCGGCTTGACAAACATACCAATATTTTACGTTTGTGCAAGCCTGTTGTGTAGTGTATGAGGGTGTTTCGTGTTTGTACAAATTCTTTCTGTTTTTTTGTACAAAAATTAAAAAATTTTGATTTTTACACAAACATATTGAATTTTTGTCAAACCATTTGTATGTTTTATATTCAATAATAACAAATTTTTCAAAAAAATTACATTTCTAAGAAAAATTGACATCTGTATCTTTGAATGCCCACAAAAACGTGAAAAAATCGGTGTTTGTACGAGCAATGTTTGTGGACTTGCAAAGATACAGATGTCAATTTTTCTTAGAAATGGAAATTTTGTGAAAATTTTGTTGTTAATGAATATAAACAATACAAACGGTTTGACAAAAATTCAATATGTTTGTGTAGAAATCAATTTTTTTTAATTTTTGTACAAACGAACAGCAAGCATTTGTACAAACACGAAACACCCTCATACACTACACAACAGGCTTGCACAAACGTAAAATATTGGTATGTTTGTCAAGCGGCTTGTGTAGTCTATTTGGGCCTTTAAAAATTAATTCCTATTGTATTTACGTAATTTTCAATTGCATTTCAGAAATTTCTATTCGTATTTCAGAATTTTCCATTTGAATTTCAGAAACTTTACATGAATACTTTATTAAAAATTTCTGAAATAGAAATGGAAAATTCTGAAACTCAAATAGCAATTTCTGAAATACAATTGGAAATTACTTAAATACAATTGGAATTAATATTTAAGTTAAATTTAAATTTTCTGAAATAAAAATGAAAAATGGAAATTTCTGAAATAGAATTAAAAATTTATGAAATATGATTAGGAATTTCTGATATATAATTAGAAATTTCTGAAATATAACTATAAAGTTCTGAAATATAATTAGAAATTTGTGAAAAATGATTAGAAATTTGTGAAATATAATTAGAAATTTCTGAAATTCAATTGGAATTTCAAATTACATTTCAGAAACTTCTAATTATGTTTCAGACATTTCTAGTTATTTTTCGGAAATTTCTAATTATATTTAAGAAAAATATTTTATTTTTCAGAAAATTCTAATTATATTTCAGAAATATATTTTAGAATTTTCTAATTATATTTCAAATCTTTCTAGTTATATTTTAGAAATTTCTAATTATATTTCGAAAATTTCCAATTATATATCAGAACTTTTCATTTGTATTTCAGAATTTTCCATTATTATTTCAGAAATTTTAAATTTAACTTAAATATTTATTCCAACTGTATTTTAAAAATTTTCAATTGTATTTCAGAACTTTCCATTTGTATTTCAGAATTTTCCATTTGAATTTCAGAAATTTTACATGAAAATTCTATTAAAAATTTCTGAAATAGAAATGGATAATTCTGAAACACAAATGGAAAGTTCTGAAATAATTAATATTTAAGTTAAATTTAAATTTTCTGAAATAATAATGGAAAATTCTGAAATACAAATGGAAAGTTCTGAAATACAATTGGATATTTCTGAAATATAATTAGAAATTTCTGATATATAATTAGAATTTTCTGAAATATAATTAGAAGTTTCTGAAATATAACTAGAAATTTCTGAAATTCAATTGGAAAGTTCTGATATATAATTGAAAATGGTTTAGAACTGAACTTGAACTTAAATTGATCTGAACCAGATCTGTTCTTTATTTGGATACCTTTGTATATATCATATGTTTTACTTTAGATATTAAATAAGCATTTTATTTTTTCATCAAGTCTTCTGAAACTGTTTCACGTTCAATTACACAATTGCAAATTCGTGAGATAACTATACGGGAAATTAGTGCTACTACAACTCACTCCCTAAACGAGGCAGTAGATGAAGATAGTGGCTTTGGTGAGGCTACACACGAAGAAATTGCAGAATTTCTAAATTTGTTTAATGGTTAGTGGTTTATTATTATTCAAACAATTATTTTCATGTTAATTATAATTTTTGCAGATAATTCTAGTCTTAATCTTAAGAAAACACCAACAAAACGTAAGGTAAATATTGGCATTAGATAATCATAGTATTTTTTTAATATTTAACATTTTAAATATTAATATAATTTATTTTTATATTTATATTATTAGTCAAGTTGTGAACAGGAAATACCCATCAAACAGAATCGTTATAGTAATGGTAATTTATAAAAAAACAAAGTCTGATGCTTTACTATAAAAATAATATATATTTTTAGATTATACTAAAGGACCGTTAATACCCAACGGGAATATTATAATAACTAAAAATTCAGTAAAAACATCTCCTTTAAAAAGGTAATTTTTTTAGTTTTTCTTATAACAATCTTCAAATAAAATACTTTTTCTATTTTAGATCATTTACACCAACAGAGTTTGCTGAGACAGTTGATAGAAACAAATATTTGGAAAATATCGATACTTCAGGAAATGTTCCACAACATATTTTTGTTGAAAACAATGAATTTATCGACGCTGATGGAATTACAATAGCAGCTGAAGTGATTGTTAAGAATAAAGAAATTTCTAAACGCTGCGGAATTAAAAAGAAGAAAATGCGTTTAATTATTGATGAATGTACTAAAATTGATACATCAGAATTTATAGAGGAAATGAAAGATAACAACACATTTTCAGCAAAATTGGCTAGAAAGAAAATCTCGAAATCATATAAAACTAAAAACTTTAAAACAGCTTTAGAACTATTAACTAGATTTAATAGAAGGTAAGTTTTTTAAAGGATAATAAATCTCTGAAGCATGAATAATTATGTAGCTGATTTTGAATAACATTATACATTCAAATAGTTGAACTGTTGCAACATCTGTCTCCACTATTTTTCAGATCTCTAAAGTTATCTTTAACCTTAAAACAAAAGATTAATCTATCACGTGAACAATTTGAAAGAGAATATATAAATTTACTGCGTGAAATCTTTACCACGGACTTTAACGAAAAATGGGTTTCAGAAATATATCCTAAATGGTTATGTTTCAAAGATGCACCAGAAAAATCAAATAAATCTACTCCTTTAAATAAATTAAAAATTAAAAAAATGTCTGTCGAACAACCAGCAGCTGAATCAAATAATCTTAGTGAAAATTTAAATACAGATGCAGTAATAGATGACAACAATAACGATATTTACAACATAAATCAAGAAATACAAAAGCTAGAAAATAATTATAACAAGGAACCACCGGTATGTTTTACATGTTCTGCTAAAAAAAATAAGTTGCTTAAAGTTTTTCCTTTAATCTTTTAAGGCTTTTATCAACCAACATATGTGGCGCCCTTATGGTGTTATGCTGAATTTATTAAACTTGTGGCGTTTTAATCAAACTAATGAAATTGCCGCAAAAACACTGTTTAAACTAGCTGAAAATCGTTTTGACAGAGCTTTGGGTTTTTACTCACTCTTAAGTAAGTATAGTTTAAAAATAGTTTTCTACTTTGTCTTCCACTATTTCTGTTATTTTGCAATTCTCAGATTTATCCAAGAACCAGTTTGTTTTTCTCACAAATTTTCCTGAAACTATTGCCTTAAAAAGTATTTTAATGGGTAAATCTATAAAAACTAATATAATATAGAATGTGTTATATATATAGGGCACTAGTTTTCATTGTTTTTTAGTCCATTGTCAAGGGATTAAAATTGTTAAGTTTTTGTTTTCTATATAATTTAAGATATTGTTAAATTCATATTTAAATAGGATAGTTTCATACATACATATTCTTATGTAAACTAGCTTATAAATTGAAATATATTTTCTATATCTGAATTACACTTATTAATCGATTTTTACTGAAACTTCACTAGTACTTAACAAGAGCTGATCTAAAATTGAACCTGAACTCAAATAAAATTCAACTAAAACTGAACTAAAACATAAGTAGAAATCAATTATAACTGAAGTGGAACTGAACTAGAACTAAAAGAAGAATTGAACTAGAACTAAAGTAAAACTGAACCAGAATTGAATTAGAACTGAATTAATAATAAACTAAAACTGAACTAGAATTAAACTTGGTCTGAAATAAACCTGAACTAGAACTGATTTGGTACTGTACTAGAACAAAACTAAATCTGAACTAGAACTAGAATTGAACTATGATTGTACTAGAACTTAACTGGAACTGAACAAGAACTGATCTATAACTGAACTAGAACTTATCAGTTGGCGCAGTAAAAGCTGCTCGCGATTATTAACAGATACATTTTCCAACATCAAATAAAAACATGAAGAAAACAGAATCCATAATCCGTACGAGCTGATTGCAAAAAAATTAAAACAAGACTATTTGGTCAATAAAGTGAGCTGTAACAAGCAATAAAATTTATATAAAAAAATTATTACAAATTATTTTTGGAACTTGTCTTTTTTTATTACTTTAAAATTTTGCTTCTCCGTTTAGTTTTGTTTTTTACATATTTTCTAATAACATTTTAATTTACGAACTATATTTTGCATTTCTTTTTTGTTTTTATAAGTAATAAATGGAAAAATGGATTGCTTTATTTCAATTAACTAAACAAATAATAAAATTTAAATATTTATGGAATATAGAAACTTAAATACCAATCTTTTGAGCTAAACCTGAATAAACGTGTAAAGTAACGAAACCAATCAGAGTGGAGACCAAAGCCTTAACAGCAATTGTAGACCAGGGACCAAAAGTCAATACACTGAGAAGACCCTCAAGCCAGACACCCTTGAATATCGTGATTACTAATAAAACAGTAACCAAGGGTTTCAAGGCCTTATTCAGATCATGACGGGTGAATAACCAAATCAAAGTGGCGGTAGTTATATGTTGAATCTGTTAAATAATTGTAAAATTTGTAAAAGACATAAATTAAAAAAGGTATGTACCTATTTTAACACTTACCAGTAAAACATTTGACTCTAAACATTTTTGTATATAAATCCAACTGAATTCAGTGCCACGAGCACCAACCCACAGCATAATACCCCTCGATAGGAGCACTTCGGCAGCAGCCCAACCTAAGCCGGCGGTTATTAACTTGCTGTGTCCCTTTCCGGGTATACGCGATAATATCAAAGCAAAACCTAATAAATCGGCTATATCAACACTACAGCGTAAGAATTCCTAAAACAGATTATTTAAACAAATTAAACCAATAGATAAGCTTTAGATAAAAATAATAATCTCCCCTTCCCCTCCCTCTGTTAAACACTTTAACTGACATACTTACAGCCAAAAAATTAAAATCTCCCGTTGTACTACTTAAAGAATCCGAATCGAAAAACGTGGCCAGTACCAACATTTTACACAATTGTGTAAACACATATATACCGCCTGCTTGTATACACTTCCAAAAGGCTCCATATTCGGAACTGTATTGCAAAAGAACAATTTTATATGTATTTTTTCAATTGAGTGGGAATTATGTTTCTTTGATACTTACAGACCGGAGTATTTATAGGTCATGTAATATGGCACATATACCAGTGCTAAGCAATTACCAAAATGATATAAAGTCATTGTTTAAGGATTTTTGATATTTGTTTAATTAATTAAATTAGTTGTTCATTAATTGGCACGTCGTTAAAATTTTTGGTGAAAGAAATGAATCTTCTGTTTCAATGAAATTTATGCAGGCCGCTGAAAAAATTATGAATTTGAATGGGATGACTCTGCGAGTGATAATTTGTGAAAATATTTCTATGAGGTTTAAATAAATGTCAAATTTTTTTCATATGTGATTTGACATCTTGAAATAAAAATAGAAATACGAAATGTCAAAAGACTCTAAATAGAGGAGGGTAGCCACATTAAAAATATTAAATATATATACCGTAAATTTCTCCAAAATAAACGGTAGATATATTGTTACAATTTTGAAGTGAACAAATAATTTTGAATGTAGAATTTCTTGCTAAAATATATATTAGTTTTGCACATTATTCTTTAATAACATTGCAAAAAAATTATATTCCTAAAATATATTTTCTTCAACTTATTTGCTTCTTATATTGTTTTGCAAAGTTAGCATCACTTAAATTTACATTTGTCACAATTCTCCAAATTGACAGCTGTTATACCACGTATCAATTCATTAGTGTATTGGTTTTTATTTCTCTTCGCTACGGAATTTTCGCAATATTTTGTCAAATACCAGCAATATATAGTTAATTTAATAAATAAATTGTATGATTTATACAAATTTACATTACAAACTACCATAAAATACAGTTAATTGTGTAATAAATTTAAAAATTATGCTACAAAACTAATAAAAAAAACTTTGTAACGAAATCCATGGGAGTAGTACAAAGAGACAAGAAAAAATAGAAAAAAACAACGTAAAATACAGGGTGAACATTATTAAAATATTTACTTGGGAAAAAATAATTGCATGACGAATATTTTTGTTGTTAATTATTAGCAATAAAGAAGAAAGACAAGGTTCAACTTGTACACAAAGTGTTTTTTTTTTTTTTGGTGTTTGCTGTGTTTGAAAGCAGATATATGAAGCTGGGGTATACTGCATCATTGGGCAGTTGTAGATTATGAGATGCAAACACGACGACGTCTACATCAACACGATACTACGGGAACACAGGAAGAGGGCTATCCTCTAATACCAACACAACAACAGCAGCACTATCAAAACAACTTCAATAATAACTATCCACAAAATCCTCTATTTGTAACAACAAACGGTGGTGGCGTTGGTGGTTCGACAACAGCAGCAACACCCTTACTAAATTCCGCTGCTTATCAGCAGCAGCAACCACAACAATCTTCCATAAATATAGGAGATAGTTTTGGCTATCCAAATAATCAAGTGCCTATAGAGGACGCAGACGACGACAAGTACGGTAAAGCACAACGTCAGTGGAATTTACGTTCACTGTCCAATCGTATACAGGCCACTTCGGGTCAAGCTTTGCGCACTTTTATACAGCAACCCTTAAGTGCAGCAGCCGCTGTTGTAACTGGCAACTATCAAGACTCGACAGAAACAACAACCGGTTCATACGTTAATAATAATTTTACTACGGGCAAAGCTCATCCCATACAAGAACTCGACGACGATTTAGAGGAATTGTTTGATAAAGAAAGTGTTGTAGTCATGGCGGCTAGAGATCGTACTGGAGAATTTAATAATGCGATAAGATCGCTGCAATCTCGTAACATATCGAGAGCTGTTAATATTCGAGATCCACGCAAGGCTAAGCAAATACAAAGCTATTCGGACTTTATGATGGTGGCAAAGATGATTGGCAAAAATATTGCTAGTACCTATGCCAAATTGGAGAAATTAACTTTGTGTGAGTATAAGAAAAGTACATAGATAGATAGATAGATAGATAGATAGATAGATAGATAGATAGATAGATAGATAGATAGATAGATAGATAGATAGATAGATAGATAGATAGATAGATAGATAGATAGATAGATAGATAGATAGATAGATAGATAGATAGATAGATAGATAGATAGATAGATAGATAGATAGATAGATAGATAGATAGGTAGATAGATATATAGATAGATAGATAGATAGATAGATAGATAGATAGATAGATAGATAGATAGATAGATAGATAGATAGATAGATAGATAGATAGATAGATAGATAGATAGATAGATAGATAGATAGATAGATAGATAGATAGATAGATAGATAGATAGATAGATAGATAGATAGATGATAGATAGATAGATAGATAGATAGATAGATAGATAGATAGATAGATAGATAGATAGATAGATAGATGGTTTAATTAAAGTTTAATAAATCAAATTAATTTTTTTTACTTAGTGGCCAAAAAGAAGAGTTTGTTTGATGATCGACCCCAAGAGATCCAAGAACTTACCTACATCATTAAAGGCGATTTAAACGCGTTGAATCAGCAAATTGCACGTCTACAGGAAATTTCTAAAGATCAACGACGGACTAACAATGGCAAGCATTTGGTATCACATTCCTCCAACATGGTTTTAGCCCTACAATCGAAATTGGCCAGCATGAGTACCGACTTCAAACAGATCCTTGAAGTGCGTACGGAAAATCTAAAGCATCAGAAAAATAGACGTGATCAATTCGCTCAAGGTCAGCTATCAGTAAATTCCGTATCATCGTCCACAGCCAAACAGGGTTCACTTCTGTTAAGCGAAGAGAATCAAGCTGTTAGCATTGATATGTCTGCAGCAAGTGATACACAACCACTGCTAGGGCCACCAGCCAGAATACAAACCCAACAACAGATCGCCTTATACGATGAATCCGACAATTATGTACAACAGCGAGCCGAAACAATGCAGAATATTGAATCGACCATTGTGGAATTGGGTGGAATATTTCAACAGTTGGCTCACATGGTCAAAGAGCAAGAAGAAATTGTTGAACGTATCGATACAAATATACAAGATGCAGAATTAAATATTGAGGCGGCCCATGGGGAAATTTTGAAATACTTCCAATCAGTATCGAAAAATCGTTGGCTAATGATTAAGATCTTTGGTGTTTTAATATTCTTCTTTATATTTTTTATTGTTTTTATGACATAGTAAATTTAGCAATTTCTTTTTTTTTATCGTTATGGCTTTTCAAAATACTAACACTAACTACATACATATATAGAAAACGATATTTTATGGATCTAATTTATAATAAAGAAAATGGGTCCTTCTCTTGTTGCCTACAATATTTTTCAACAAAGTAAATTACCACAAATAAAAACCAATATTTTATATGTATATGATGAATCTTTAGTATATAAACCATCATAATTAAATCGATCACTGATATAGAATGAACGAATAAAAGTTTTAATAACTATAATAATAAAATGTAATGTTTAACGAAAATATTGTAAATGATTAAATTAAAATATATAATAAATAAACAGAAAAAACTTGTTAATTTTAAATTAGCAAAGTAAAATGAGTTTTAATAATAAAATTTAATTATTAAACATTTTTTCTTTTATTGAAGCCGAAGATTTATTGAAATTTAACTATTTCGTAAATACACACTGTTATAATTTATACTTTTTTAAATTGAATTCACCACTGGCTTCTTCTTGTAAAGATTCGACTTAGTCTTGCCTTAAATATATTAAGGGAATGAACAGTAGGCTCACAAACTTTTTATATATAGATATATAATTATTACGCCGTATTTATTCTGAATTTCGACACCACTTTTAATCAATTTGCCTTCTTTACTCCATATATAAGAAAACATCAGTTCGCCTTACATGTTAATATACGCCTTAAACTCACTCTTATTGAAAAACTCTTTATTGCTAATTTTAGTCTGGCAACTTGATCAATTCCTAAAACAATCTGGCATTTGACTTTTATCTAAACAGCTGTTTTTTATTATCATTTTTTGGGAGTGAATTGTTTTCTTTTTATAATTTTGTTAATTTTCCGCAAACAAATTAACATTTTACCACAAAATTAACAACAACTTATAAAGAAAATGACTGAAGATATTGAAAAATACTTTAAAAATCTTTTAAAAAAGTAAGTAAACTATTAAGATAGGTTTCATTAACTTGAATTTCTATTTATTTTCTTATTAGAATCAATGGATTGTATATTATACAAATTACGGATCGAGATGGTGCACCCGTTATGCGGGTTAGTCAAGATAAAAATGTCGATTTTACTTTAACACCCCCATTTATATCAACATTTACCACAGCTAGCGATCAAGCTGGGAAATTGGGACTGGGACGTAATAAAACAATTATATCAATGTATTCCAACTATCAGGTGAGTGGGTTCTTTGAAGTTTTAGGAGATGTTAAAAAAATATGTTCTAAAATTGTATGTTGAAATGAAATATTTCAGTTTTATAATAATTACAAGTTACTCAGAAAGATTCCAATGTTTTCTTTTGCGTCACAAGTCGAGTTTTCTATAAAAGTCAAGTTTTTAGTGAAGTCTTAATTATATTAATACGTTTTTATTACACATTTCAGGTGGTTCAAATGAATAAATTACCGTTGATTTTAACATTTGTTGGATCCGAAAACTGCAATACCGGCCATATTTTAGCATTAGAACATCAATTGGATGCCTATTTAGAAGACATGAGACTTGCTGTTAGTGAAGCTACATAAATGAAAATTTCCATACATTTTCTTTCTCCTTGGTATAAACTTTCTTCACTTCTCAATAAATATAAGAAACAACATTTTCCAAATTTTTTTTTTGTAAATTATATATATGTTACTATGTATAAGATGCTTAAATAAGAACAAAATTATATATTAAATAAAAAACATTTTTACTTAAAAAATAACACAAAGAATTTTTTTTAAATTTTTTATTAAAACTTTACAAGTAAATTTCAAAAAAGGAATGATTACAAATTAAATTAAATTGTAACTACTTTTAATTAAAGACGACGACATATTACATACAAATGATGAAAGAAATACATAAGAATCCGAAAAAATGTAGTATAATTGTAAACAAAATACAGAATGTGAGTAGTACACAGGATAATGTTTATCTGATAAACTTCATGATTCATTTTAAATTCTTTTTGTTACTGTAACTGCATTTTGTCTTAAGGTCTTGAGGCCTCAGTTCTTCTCTTACAATTCATCTTTGAAACGCTGTTCTGCTGCAGCAAATGCTTCTTCATCGCAGGCAGCTGGTGTTTCGAAATCGAAATAGTATTCACAGCGATTAGGTTCACTAACACCAGTTATTCTCGACTCGAGAGCACATTTCAATTGTACGACAACAGAACGCTGTGGTCCATTCCAGCATGAAGCGCCATGGGCATACTTTTGTTTAGCATATTTACTTTCGCCTTCGTGCAACCATTGATCCCAACGACCTAGGGTTATTTCCGAGCCACCACTGCGAGGTTGCTGGGAAGCTCTTTCGAATGGGCAAAGTTTATAAACATATTCGCGTTCTTCAAAGTTGTAACATTCACCTTCGAGTGTGGCATATTCATCGTTTGGTCCATAGTCTTTGGCATTTTGATCATCGATTTCCTTAATTTCATGTTCAATCTCTCGTACAGCACGTTCAACCTCAGACAAAGCATTACGCGCCTCATTGGCCATATTAATAAAACGCTGAGTTTCGGGATCGTATTCGACTTCAGGACTCCTTTCAGCTTCTACGGATCCGGCGCCTGTGTCGTCATCTTCATAAACTTCTTCTTCCTCTTCATCGTCTCCTTCAAACTGAGGCGCATCTTGACCAGTTTGTTCGTTGTCTAAAAATAATAAGGATAATATTTCTATTGTTTTCGATTTTAAAAATACATACCTTCTTCTGGTTTTTGATCACCACGTTGTTCTTCATTAAGTAATTCAGCCACTTCGTCGTTATGTTCTTCGCCTTCTGGAGGAGTGAATAGACCTTGGGCTATCATCTGCATAGTTTTAATACGTGGCCAGGATAAAGCAATGAAATTTTCCAAATCAATACGCTCACGTTCATCTAAAAAGTATTTGGCTTCCTCTATATCTACAACACCATTACGATCACGATCCAATTGCAAGTCTCGTTGAAGTTCTGCAATTTCAACAAAACCATCCTTATTCGAATCGTAACGCATAAAATTGGCAGTAGCTTCGTTGCGTAAAGAATCATCAGGTGTGGGTTCATTACTGGCAGCTTCAGCTGCGCCTGCATCTCTTTCTTTTTGTTGTTCTTTAAAGAAATTAATAGCTTCCGTTTCAGCAGCTTCTGCCTGTTTCTTTAATTGCTCTTTTTCAGCCTTTAGAGATTCCTGTTCTTGACGACGTGCATCTAACTCAGCACGACGCTTTTCCCTTTCAGCTTTAAGCTGCTTACCACGCGCTACCATTTCGGAACGTTTAGCTGCACCCTTTTTATACATTTCTGCCTGGGACTTTCGTTGCTCTTGTTCAACTTTACCCAACTCTATGCAAGTATTGGCACACATGCCCTCGGCCATATACTCATCACTGCCATCACAACAGTCACATATGCCATCATTTACCCGGGAACTAGGAACATCTTGAGGACGATGACCTTTATTTGCACAATGGAATGTACCCTCGGCACAAGCCGATGTTCCTGGTTCATCGCTGCCATCTTCACAATCACAGTAATCATCATTTATTTGCACAAACTTTAATGTCTTAGTGCCGTCCAAACAGAGCCAACTATCATCCGAACGCGGTTTGTACAGTGTGGCTTTTGACAAAGACACACCACGGGGACGTGGTACGTCAGCTAATGTAATAGTCCATATACTTGTTGTTGTGAAGAAAGTGAACAGAAGAGTGCACAGTACTTGTGCAAATTTCATTTTTTTGCTAGGCAACATTTTAAAGTTTTGTTTACAATAGCGGTGGGCTTCGATGAAAATACACACGCACTGACGTGGTTTTATCTAATAATTTACTTTAAGTGTTATTTATTATTAAAACTTTTTATTGAAAAACGATTTACAACGAAGGAGAGATAAAGAAAATTATTGCTAATATGACAATGAAAGACCGGCGTTTAGTGTTGGCAATTCCAATACGCTCAGTTGATGTTTTATAAATCGTAAAAGTTACAAAAACAACAGGCAAATTATGACATCGAGTTAGCTTTTAACAAAAACAACAGACTAAATTTGACAGCTAGGTTGATGTATAACAACAACAATTGCCTGTGGTTGTTGTTGATAATTTTTGTACCAAAAATTCTATTGTCACTTTATTAATATACACACTTTCACAGTTGGCAATTCCTACAATCAGCTGTTGTATACAACAGGGTGTTAAATATTCCTGTTTTCATTTAATTTGCAGAAATATGTCGGGCATCTAGAAATTTCTTAAAAAAATACAATCTTCATACAGTCAATCTCGTTTATAACGAACTCAGGAAGACCTACAAATATTTAGACGGTTGAAGATTATATAGAATACGAAATTAAATATTATATGTAATAAATTTATTATATTCGTTTTTACAAATATCAATCACTGATTTTATTTGCTTGTAAACTCTTATTTAACTAGATTTGTGAGTTTGTAATGGTAGAAATAACTAATTGCCAAACTAACTAACTAACTAACTAACTACTAACTAACTAACTAACTAACTAACTAACTAACTAACTAACTTAACTAACTAACTAACTAACTAACTACTAACTAACTAACTAACTAACTAACTAACTAACTAACTAACTAACTAACTAACTAACTAACTAACTAACTAACTAACTAACTAACTAACTAACTAACTAACTAACTAACTAACTAACTAACTAACTAACTAACTAACTAACTAACTAACTAACTAACTAACTAACTAACTAACTAACTAACTAACTAACTAACTAACTAACTAACTAACTAACTAACTAACTAACTAACTAACTAACTAACTAACTACTAACTAACTAACTAACTAACTAACTAACTAACTAACTAACTAACTAACTAACTAACTAACTAACTAACTAACTAACTAACTAACTAACTAACTAACTAACTAACTAACTAACTAACTAACTAACTAACTAACTAACTAACTAACTAACTAACTAACTAACTAACTAACTAACTAACTAACCTAACTAACTAACTAACTAACTACTAACTAACTAACTAACTAACTAACTAACTAACTAACTAACTAACTAACTAACTAACTAACTAACTACTAACTAACTAACTAACTAACTAACTAACTAACTAACTAACTAACTAACTAACTAACTAACTAACTAACTAACTAACTAACTAACTAACTAACTAACTAACTAACTAACTAACTAACTAACTAACTAACTAACTAACTAACTAACTAACTAACTAACTAACTAACTAACTAACTAACTAACTAACTAACTAACTAACTAACTAACTAACTAACTAACTAACTAACTAACTAACTAACTAACTAACTAACTAACTAACTAACTACTAACTAACTAACTAACTAACTAACTAACTAACTAACTAACTAACTAACTAACTAACTAACTAACTAACTAACTAACTAACTAACTAACTAACTAACTAACTACCTAACTAACTAACTAACTAACTAACTAACTAACTTACTAACAAACTAACTAACTAACTAACTAACTAACTAACTAACTAGCTAACTAACTAACGAACTAACTAAACTGTCATTGGATAATTGTAATCAGTAGTTACCAGTGAATTAATTACATCTAAATCCTTGACATAAAAACTTCAAAATATGTATGTATATCGGGAAACATAGATCTTTGATAAGAGAGATAAGAGTTCAAAATAAATTTAAAACAATATTGATGCAAATGATTCCTAAATTAGATTCTTATTCAAATATTTTTAATAAAAAGGTTTAGATAAACTTATAAAATGTTTAAATATTCGTTATAAAAAATTTAAAATCTCGTTTTTTAATTATCTTTGGTTTTATAAAAATTTCGTTTTATAGCATTCAGTTTGGCCAGTTATTAACTGAACATCCAGTTATTGTTCTTTAATAATTATTAAAATACACAAATTGTTGTTGTTTTTAATACATGTTAATTATATTTTTAGTTAAAAAAAATTCAATTGAAAAATACTTAAATTTATTTAAAAAAAAAGTAGTTACACAATATATATTTGTAATATAAAAAAGCAATATGTTTGTATATATATTACTTACACTTAAATTAATATAATAAATGTTACTAATATAGTCATCAACAATAGATACAACAAAAATACAAATTGCATCTCTGCATCACAAATTAAAAAATCAATCATCAAGTCTTCTAAATGTGTGTTTTACCGCACATTCGTTATATTACCCATTTACAATTCCGGTTTATTAATTATACCATAAAATAGAGGTAATTTTGTGGGATCATGACGAATGAGTATTAGGAATGGTGTGTCACCACGGAAAACAACATCGGTACCTGAACGATGTAAATAGGTAAGAGTGGCAGCCGCTGCTTCAGTGCCCTGTTCATCAACAGAAAAAACAACTTTATGTATTATATCATCTACGAAAAGATCAGAAGAGGGATATGTATCGGTTATTAAGCGATTCGCTTCTATATTATGTAGTGCTTCAACTACAGGATCCACATTATTCGTAGAAACTTGACGTTTTCCTCGTTTATTATTTGCTGATTTAGTACCAACAGTAGTTGAAGGCTTTTCGGTTGTGGAGGACATTTGCATTGAGTCCATGGTTTTATTATGTGTTGACAACATAGTGTTATTACCAGATTCTTTAGTTTCACCAAATCTGGAGGAGAATACTAAGGCCGGTTCAGCATATCTATCTAATATATGGCCCTTAGGATAAAATGGCATTTTACGATCAATGGATTCAAAAGACACAGTAGATCTTATCGGAGCAAAAGCGTTCGATGGAGCCTGTACAGGTACCTGTGCAGTAGCTGGTACAGGGGCATATGTTGAAGCTGGAGCTGGTACAAAATTTGGTGTTACATAACTTGATTTTCCACCAATCAATGACAAGTCGCTATAACCATTTATGAATATATCACGTACATCCATTTTTTTCAGTATTTCTTTCATGTTCATACTGCGGGTAAAATGCATTTTTGGAAATACCATAACCGTAGTCTTGCGTTCCATATTATCGATCATGGCATTTATTTTATGAGCATTTAAAATGTTTTGCAATTCGCGTAATTTTTGACGACTGGAATTATTTGGTTGAATTACATACATGGTAGTTTCATTGCCCTTATATGGAAGACCTATAATCCGACAATCATATTCTTTGGCATTATAAAATGGAAATATACCTCCAGTCGGCATCATTTGTACTTTAATGGGTGGATTGTTTGCACCATCTGGATAGAAATTATCTTCGATTGTGGATCTGGGAAAGAACGAAGTCTCCCAAAATGCTTTAAAGTACAAAACAGAGGCTAGAATGATGTTTGTGGATTTATCTATGTCGCCATCAATAACTTTAGGTATCTTTCCAAAAGTAGCTTTATCGACCCAGGCGTTAATATGATCACGAGATTCTCGGTTTTTCGCCTGGAAATCCAATTGTTGTAATTCCGTTTCATAAATGGACTTGAGTACTTGCCTAAAAAAATAAAATATGTATGTATGTAAGTGTAAGATATAAAATAGATAGATAGATAGATAGATAGATAGATAGATAGTATAGATGATAGATATATAGATAGATAGCTAATGAGATCGATAGATAGCTAGATAGATAGATAGATGATAGATAGATAGATAGATAGATCGCTCGCTCGCTCGCTCCCTCGCTAGCTCGATCGATCGCTCGCTCGCTCGCTCGCTCGCTCGCTCGCTAGCTCGCTAGCTCGATCGCTCCCTCCTCGCTCGCTCGCTCGCTCGCTCGCTCGCTCCTCGCTCGCTCGCTCGCTCTCTCGCTCGCTCGCTCGCTCGCTCGCTCGCTCGCTCCCTCGCTCGCCTCGCTCGCTCCTCGCTCGCTCGCTCGCTCCTCGCTCGCTCGCTCGCTCGCTCGCTCGCTCTCGCTCGCTCGCTCGCTCGCTCGCTCGCTCGCTCGCTCGCTCCTCGCTCGCTCGCTCGCTCGCTCGCTCGCTCGCTCGCTCGCTCGCTCGCTCGCTCCTCGCTCGCTGCTAGCTCCTCGCTCGCGCTGCTGCTGCGCGCTCGCTCGGCTCGCTGCTCGCCTTGCTCGCTCGCTCTCTCGCTCGGCTTGATTTCTTCTTTTTCTCTCCCGCTCCTCCCCCCTTCTCCTCTTTTGTCCCCCTCCCCCCCCTCTACTTGTCCCTCTATCCTCTCTCCCTAATAACTCTCCTCCCCATTCTCCTTTCTGCGCCTCCTTTCTTTTTATGTATTTCTGGTGTAGTATAACATATGTACGTATTTTATTTTCTCACCGATTCAATTATCAGCGTTAATATTTATATTTGTATAAAAACTTGTGAAAGTTTTTTATTTATTATAAACTTTTTATGCTAAAACAAACATAATATAAATATAATAATGATTAACAAAACTTGAATTTCGTGCTAAAAAATTTAAACATAATTTTAAAATCTTCATTTAAATGTGAATTAACAATGAATTTCCGTTAGGTTTTTTGTTTACAAATATATTTTTTGATAACATGACAGACAAATGATTATTTTAATTATTTTTAGAGTGACATATAAAAACAATATTAATTAATTTATTTATGAAATTTTTTTATTGTTTTTTAAAAACTCGGCAGGTTGTTTCAAAAGTGGTTTTTATAATTTTTACTCCATTACTCTATAGAAGAGGACTTAATGAGATCTAATTTTTCAAAACTTTTTATCTGATAATTACAAAAATTTCGTAATATTCAGTCAAGAAGAAACAAAATGTCCCTCAAATGGATCTACATACATACATGCATACATACAGTGAATCAACTAAGTTTTTTGCCTACCTTTTTTTAAGAGAATTTTGTTTTTTGTTCATAAATAAAATTAAAAAAAAACAGGTAAAAAGTAAATTTATGTTTTCCAATTGAAAATAGATATTGTGTAGAATGGGAAAAAGAAAAAAATATTAAAATGAAAATGTTGGTGCATTTGTTGTTGCATTTTATTATTT